GGTCAAATATCTCCCATAACACATTGCATGACGTACACGGATCTGCAATATCCCGGTTGATGCAGAAAAGTAGGGCGTTCAACCCCATCTCATTTCCTTTAATTGATTAATATCATCCATGATACGAGCATAAACGGTATTTCGATGTGCTGGCTCACTAAACAGGAGGTCCCTTGTTCTATGATCCAGGAGCTGGCCCAGAAAGTACCTTGAGATTTTTCAGAGTTCTCTTGTCGGTGGTGCAGAGCAGAGAAACAGACAGAGAGCCGTATCGGGTCGTTCCAATAGGTTAGGAAAACCGAGTTCCCGTGTACATGTTGGCGTGCACGTGAACGAACCCTTAATAGGTTAGTAAAATTTAGGTCCCATTTACATGTTGGCATGCGCGTGAACGAACCTTTAATAGGTGAAAAAATTCCCCTCATCGCACACTGCATGGTGTATGTACTTCTTCATTACAGCGAATGGCGCCCCCTTTCATTAGCCCAGTTGGAGCAGAACAGTAGGACGTTAAACCCCATTTCATTTCATTTTTATTTCCGATTGGTGCTGAAGAGTAAGGCGTTAAACCCCGTTTCATTTTATTTCATTTCTTGCTCTTTATGACACTGGCATACATTTCAAATCAATAATATATAGGTGAACTTAATAACATCGAACGGGGTCGAATAGTATGTTTTTCAGTGTTTTTATAGATAGATATGTCATATCGCCTGATCATTCTATTGTTTGTACTTCAACTTATATCCGTATTATTTCGATTAATCGATCTCAATATTACAGATACGACTTTTTCCTTTCACTCAAAATCAAAGTTAATTAATCATAGCGTCAATATCGCTCTAACATCGAACAATGTGTGGATCTGTTTTTATCTCTCGACAAGGAGTAGGTTCGCCTGTCCAACCTTGTGGGTTTTCTCCGGGTCCTTCGGTCCCCGCCCCCACTCTTGAAATAAAAATGAACCATATCATGTTAGTCCCGAAATGACCCAGTTTGTGTCGAATGGACGTAAAACCCCATTTCTCTCTGTCTTTCTTGTTTTATCTCAAACTAACAGGCAATAACAATGGGTTACTTTCAGCCCATAAAAAAAGGTTGGACAATCAGGCTCGGTTGTGCGATTGCAACATGTCCAAGCTATACGTGACCACGTGCCACTTACGGAGGAATTTTGCTGACTCAAAATAGGCTAATCTTCATTGGTACTTCAATTTCACATAAGTGACCTAATTTTCGAAAATAAATTTCGGATTCCACGATCCCCTGACGGAAAAATTTCGCTAACTCAAAATAGACTTATGTATATTGAATTTTAATTCCACATTTGTGACATATTTCCTGAAATATATAAAATTTCGGATTCCACGAGCCGCTCCAGCGGAAGAAGTTCACTAACCCAAGATACACCTATCTTTATTGAAAATATTAGTACATGTAGTTGATTTTCAGTGACCTAATTTCCTAAAATAAATTTCGGATTATGTTTATCTTTTAATGGATCAGATCATTGCTCTCAGAATCATCGTCTGGTTTCTGTCAATCAAAATGTCTAGAGCAATAAAATGAGGGAGGCGGCCATTTCTTGCTAAGCCTAATAGGTATAAAGTATTGGAAATTATAGACATTAAATAAATAACATTAGTATAATATCTCTATAATACTTACTAACAGCTGGATATTGATCATTTCAACCAGGATATTTCCTAATCACCTAATCTATTTTATCGTCTCTCTCTTTATATATGTATATATATGATTCCGACGAATATTCTACGTTGCGGAGTATATGGGGATTTGTGGACTAACATAGATATATGGGACAACAATCACTGGTTTAGTATGAGGTTTGGGGTAACCGAGATTACTCGAACAGTGGCTAAGTCAGAAATTTATGTGATATAAGCAACATCGAACACATTCCACGCGCTTAACATCGATCAGAAAGGGGTGGGTGAAATTGACTCGTATGAAATTTGGATATGGCTACTTCGAATGTAAAGTACGCATGCATTTTATAATTTGTTAAGTGCCTCGGAGTGGGGTCGGGGGGTCTTCATGGACACCTTTTAGTGCCGCCTCTGTGTCGAGTGGGTCCAACGCTTCAGTAGGATTATTCGGTGCTATGAGCTATATTTAGGCTTTGGGTTAATAAACAAAATCCATGGGCGAAATATCGCATATTCGGGAGAACTATTCCCACTAAAACCACTGTCGTGGATCCCTGCTTTGCTCAACTCGAACAAATTATCGTGATCTTTTTTCTAATAAAGTATAATAATTCATGTTGATATGAACCATCTGTAAAATAACGTTGTTATTGTCTCAGGTGGTTGTTGTTGATTGTCTTTTGTCAGTAATTCGCCAACAATTAGTATGTTTCGGAAGACCTTCCAGTAAAATCATGTTATCATGGCGACCCGGGAGCTGTGCTGGCTCAGTGGGTAGGACGCTAGCTCGCTATCCAGGTCTCGGGTTCGCTACCGGTGTTGCATAAGAACGTTCCTCAGGGCCCCCCTTGTCAAAGTTGCGGGTCGGGGGGCCTGGCAAAGGCAGTGTCTAGTCGTCCGGGTGGTACTTTGTACACATTGGAGTGTACGTAAAGATCCATTGCGAGTTTGAATTTGAAATAAGAGTAGGCCGTAGTGCCACTGCCCGGGTAAAACTTCCCTCATATCACACTGTATGCGCCCGTCTTCATTAACCCAGTCGGTGCAGAACAGTATAGGTAGATGTGTTTGAGACTGCAGCATTAAAGTTGCAATTGGAAATTTTCAAGTTATATTTTTAAAATGTATTAAAATAAAGCCTTAAAATAGATGGTATCCATAAACAGTCCTGCCTTGTTAAAGAATAATCCTATAATTCGCTATTGTCAGCTGAGAAATTGGCAAAAATATCATTTTTAACTTCAAATTCCAACGTTGGAAAATGGCTGCGCCATGTTGTCAATAGCAAAACAGGGGAGGTAATTGTGTTGTTATTTCCTGTGTCATAGATTTTTAAGGGTGGGAAATAATGCCCATGGTCGTATAATAGTGATTTGATAACCTATTGAGCAAAAGACATAGAAATAATTATGTTTTGACTTTCTTAGAAAATTTGAAATTCTCGCTTTAATCACTTTCCCTTGGTTTCAGATGTGGTGATGACCAGTCCAGATGTGGTGATGACCAGTCCAGATGTAGACAAACAACGATCTCTTGCCACTTCACTTGTTAAAATACAGAAGTGGCTTAAGGGCAGGTATGGAGCCTTGAAGAGAGTGAAGACAATAACAGATAAACATTTACAGTCTGTCTCAATCCAGGTTTGTTTCATTTCACATCTTAACACGCAAACATTATCATTATCCTAACAAAATAACAATCTACATGAATAATAATATGAAAAGCGTTTTCTTAAACATCGACGAACATAGTATTGAAAAAAGTTTCAACAAAATGAACTTCTTTATTATAAGTTTTTAAATCCACTTTTGTATTGTTTTACTAAGATAATACCCTCGTCCAACTGCTTGTTTAACATCTGCAATTCATTAAAAAAAATTGTGTATTGGAAAATTAGGTTGTTTTTTGTTTATAAATTGTGTATCGGAAAACCATGTTGTTTTTTTTTAAAATTGTGTATCCGTAAACCATGTTGTTTTTGTTTTTTTAAATTGTGTATCAGTAAACCATATTGTTTGTTTTAAATTGTGCATTGGAGAGAGAGAGAGAGAGAGAGAGAGGCATCGTAATTTTAATGATTTCACTTTTTGCGCTTATTGGTACGTAAAAGCCAAGGATTGCACACCGCTTCATTCACTGTGATATAAGCGTACTCGTTTGACCACTGGACTACCCATCCTTCCTTCTACGCAAATACCGTACCATTATTAACTAATTAATTTTAAAAATTCAAATGTTAAAAAATGTCGTTTATTGCCTTGGGTATAACCGGTCTAATTGGCTTGTTTGTTTGTAAGTGACAAAATCTATAGACAGAATCTATAACGTCCATAACTTGGTTGTAAACGATGGTCGCTAAACCTTTCCTCCGGCCATTTTTTACAAGTTGTTTGAGAAGTAATTGGCAATGGTGACAGTTAGTAAATAATGGTCAGAGTGATTTGTCGATAAATAAAATAAATCACACGAAAAGAATAAGAAAACAAAACAATATATACATGTTTTATGTTTTTATTGCTTCTGCATAAATGTGTTGACAAGATACAGCATGTAGCCTATAGCGAAGCCTACATATTATAATGCAATTTAATACACAGAAAACGAAATGAAATGGGGTTTTAACGTCCTTATACTGTTCTGCTCCAACTAGGCTAATGAAGGACATTGTGTATACAGTAATATACTGAATACAGTATACTGTATGTATACAGTGTGACGAGTGTGTTATGGAGGACATTTTGTCTGAACAGCGGCGCTACGGCCTACCTTTATATCGAATTCCAACTGTCAAGGGTTCTTTAACGTGCACCTCGGTTTTCATCTCTCATCAAAAGCTAAAATATGCTATATTATTAAAAACGCATGGATCTAAATTTCATAGGTTTCAACTTTCAACCCCTACCCGTAAGTTACACCTCTTTCGATAGACCATGATGGATCTTATAATTAATATATAGGTCCATGGTTAAATCCAGTTTTAAATGGCATTGGAAGCCGGGAATTTTCAAAAACTTGTATAAAATTCTATTGAAGGAATTTTCTAAATGCCTCCATTATAGCAAATTGTCAAACTCTACTTCATGGACCGGGTCTGTCTCAGTTTGCCGCCAGTTTTCACCCGAGTTTTGAATTATTCATCGAGTCATTCTCAGACAATTGCTCGCTCAGGCGGTTTTACTATATCAAAATCCATGGCTCGACCCCGCCCACCTGCCATCAACAAAGAGACAAAAATAGAAAGCCTTTCATTGGCTACACAATACGACAATTAGCCAACCAGCGGTCGAATCAACATCGATGACCTCATCGTTCAGTGAGAATTGAGCATGCTGAATTTAGCATGGATTCCGCGTATCGTTTGTGAAAAAAGTGAATTTTACTTCAATTGGAAATAATTATCTGTGTACAATCTGTGAAATTGTTTGCATAAACATTAGGTGAGTATGGATTTTAAATTTGATGTTCGTATGATGGTTTAGTAGTCAGATATGGCCGGTTAAACAACGGCTGTATCGACACCGTGACCTACAATTTTAAGTTTGAATTGGCTGTCGGAATGCTGCAACAGTGAGAAAGACTGTAATGATACTTGTTGATAATAAACGGTGCTATCAAACAAGTGGTTTATAGTTACAGGGTGTGCCATTCTGGTGATTTCGAATTTTACAGGCTGGATTTGACATTTAGGCTCCATCTATACTTATTTAGATTTTTCTATTCACGCCTGCATCATCAGTCATTCAGCGTTATAATAGATTTCACCCAAAAAATGCGAGACTGTTTAGGTTTAAGGTTATGTGCATCAGATTGGCAAATTGCTACAAAGCAATGGCATCTGAAAAATGTCCACTTTTTTTTGGCACATGCATTATTTATAGATTGGCAAGTAAACTATGTGGCTGTTGATATACTTCAAAATGGCTGATAAACCAAGCAGCTGATTATAAAAAAATCAACAGTTGTCACATGTGTATATTTGTAAGTAATATAATAAGACCAAATCACTGACACTGAGTCTAACTGTTCATTTCTTTCAATAAGAAAAATAATGTCATTTTCTTCAATGGGAAATACTACTTTAATAAAAGTTATCTATGCTCAAAATAATGTCATTTGTTAATTATTAAGAAGACTAGGGAAAATGAGCAAGGCATGACTTCCTGAAAGAATTTTGTTTTTCACTGTACCGAACAACGGTACTCTAGTATTAGTATTATGTGTACATACAATATTTACTGTAGCCTACTGTATAACTCCTAGAAATTTATTGAAGTCGGGTACATTCGCACGAAGATAAATCTTAGACTGTATGATGTAATAAATATGAGGTCATTTTATAAACAAAAACAGAAGACTGCCATTCCCTTTAATAAAACCAATGTGTTTGATAAACTTTTCTGGTGATAAGAGTCTAAAGAGATGTATTTGACAGAGAGCTGGGTTTATTTAGATATTTACTGGCCATGGACATTGGGGCTATACTTTGATTTTAATGTAATATGTACACAAGTAATACATATTAGGCCTGTACACTCTGGGGGTATACTGTGACCTTAATGTAAAATACACAAGCAATACACATTGGGGCTATACTGTGACATCAATGTAAAATTCACAAGCAATACACATTGGGGCTATAATGTGACTTAATGTAAAATACACAGCCAATACACATTGGGGCTATACTTGGACTTTAATGTACAGTATACTGTGTATTTAATTTAATAGGAAGTGGATATTCAACCGGATCCAGTTCTCATCCAGAACTAAAGCAGAAACCTGGTTTTTACCTGTGGTGCTAGTACCAGTGCATTTACCATATTGAGTCTAATTTGCTGCCAGTGTTCTCTTCTTGTGAACTGTTTGTTTGTCAATGGATGCATGTGAAATATAGTGCAGAATTTTTATTAGAGGCAATTAAACTCTACAGAAATGAAAATAGTGTTACTTACTGTATGTTTGAAGTATGGCCATGGGTTATGTAGGGGTTTTATGGTTTTCGGCAGGGTTAGAGTTTAAAATATTTTTTTTTTTTAGATATAAACAGAAAAACATGCTGCTGGTTTTAAAGATTTCTGCCATTGTGAATCTGGTCGGTTTCTTTGGGTTACATGTATATGGGTAGGGAACCAGATACCTTCTCATATCCACTGCCAATGTAATAGCAATATGGGTAGGGAACCTAGCACCGTTTCATATCCCATGGTATATCCACTCAGCTGATGCAATACATGTATATACCATCAGCAATATGGTTCGGGAACCTAGCAGTGTTTTATATCCCCCCATGGTATATCCACTCAGTCGTTGCAATATATACCAGCAGCAATATGGGTAGGGAACCTACATGTAGCACCATTTCATATCCAATGGTATATGCACTCAGCCAATGCAATATATACCAGCATCTATATGGGTAGGGAACCCAGTACCGTTTCATATCCCATGGTATATCCACTCAGTTGATGTAATATATACCAGCAGCAATATGGGTAGGGAACCTAGCACCATTTCATATCCCATGGTATATATACTCAGCCGATGTAATTGTTTATAATGATACTCTTTCAATATACATTGGTTCACTTATAACTGGTTCACAGAAAATACTGCAATTAAAGGCAATAATATCTCTTGTTCATCATATTAAAAACAAGATTTTATAAGTTCCCACAGAATATTACATGTATTTCCATTTTTATCTACATGTACTAGTCATAGATGTAATTTGATAACTTAATTATTGTTTTACATAAGATTATACCCGGATAATATTAAATTCACAGAGAATAGTGTTCGATGATATTAATATTAAATTCATGGAGAAAATATAACTCGAGTGATAATAAAAAATACATCAATATCAGTCATAATGTATGTCATATAATACTAGTGAGAAAATCACATTAATATTTGTACTTGTTGAGTTTAATGGTCTCTACAGTGTATGTATTGAAAATGGTGTACAGTTAAAAATGGTAGGGGAATGAATTTATAAACGATTAAGGTTGGGGATGCAATGGTACAGATAAATCATTTGAAATGTGATCTTTAGTAGTGCTCTGATAAATACATGATTATTAGAATTTATATAGTTTTTCAAGGCTATCTGTACTGATTTTTTAGTTTTCGTAGGTCGATTTGAAACTTTCCTTTCTTCCCCTCCTTTTCTCGTCATCTAGTCGGTGTTTATGGTTCATCAATTCTCTGTCAACTTTATTATTGATTTGACAATCTCATTTTCCAGAATCTTAAACTTCTCAATAATCTTGAAATTTAAATGTCATAGTCTCTGATGTTACATGTAATTCTCAGATCCCATTGTCTTTACTAGATTGTTGATTAATCAGCAGGTTGAGATCAATAAATAACAAGTAGTGTGGTCTAGACTTATTATTGCCACAGATTTCTTGATTGACAAACTTGAAGTACGGTATTTTAATGATTTCTTCCCTGAAGCGTAATTAGGTCATCTGTTGCTTGATTAAAGGGAGCTTCAGTGACTCAGTGCGTAAGATGCTAGCTTGCAAGATCCTCCACTCCTTACCTCCTTTTCAAGTACAAATTCGATATCTAAAATCTATAGGTAGGATAAGCTTGTTTCCTTGCCCAAAAAAGGGGGGGGGGTTGGATGGCTGAATGGTTAGCACGTGCGTGCTGTATCATAAAGTCTGTCATTGACCATTGAGTCAACTAGCGTGGTTTCGAATCTCCGGTTGTACATGACAAGGAGTGGGTCGCCTGTCCAACCTCGTGGGTTTTCTCCAGGTCCTCCGGTTTCCTCCCACTGCTAAAGACTCTATGCGCAAGCGAATTATTGAAATAAAATTGAACCATGTGTTAGTCTTGAAATGACCTAGTTTGTGTCGAGTGGATGTTAAACCCCATTTCTCTCTCTCACTCTCTCTTGCCCAAAACATCTGATACAATTTGCTTATGAGATCATTACAAGAGTAAGATCATATGAATATTTATATGGATGAGAAGGTGAGGGTCCATAATAGTATAATGGTTCCAGTGGTGGTCAGCATTGGAGGAAATACTTATTTTATTACCGTATACTAATGGTTCAAAGTTTATTCTGGTTACAGTGGTGGTCAGTATTGGAGGAAATACTTATTTTATTACCGTATACTAATGGTTCAAAGTTTATTCTAGGATCACCCACGAAGAATTCTTCTGATCTCTTAATTATTTCACCTGTTTATTTTCTTCTCTTTATGACATGCCATTTACCAGGTTGGCTTCTGGCTTCCTGCGTTCATAAAACTTGACCAGGCCTTTGAATTATGATTTAGATAGTACTACATCTATCCTGCTGAAATTATTCCATTGGTTGTTTTTGTGTTCATGATAGAATACCCTGCTCCATGGCTATTGCAAACTCTTGCTGTTGAAAATAGTCTTTTTCATTGGCTTCAATTATAAGGTCATATCATTATATATTCCTTTTACTCCCTTTTCCATGCTGTAGAAAAAAAACCCTCAAGCACTGTAGATCAAATTGTTTTGGTATGATCTCTACGGAAAAATCACAGTACTACTTAACAGATTCATATCTTCAGTTTTATCTTTTTGTAAAATATCTTAAATCAGGTGAAATTGTTCTTAAAGATTCTTTGGCAAAAAATTAATTATGGTGACGATAATGACTAGTGTCGATATACAATAAATCAACTCTAGTACACAGATTCATATCTTCAGTTTTATCTTTTTGTAAAATATCTTAAATCAGGTGAAATTGTTCTTAAAGATTCTTTGGCAAAAAATTAATTATGGTGACGATAATGACTAGTGTCGATATACAATAAATCAACTCTAGTACACATGTAGTCATCATCAGCCCAGTGGGAGCAGAAAAGTAGGACATTAAGCCCAATTTCATTCAATAATTCATTTATGATACACAGAGAGATAGAGAGAAATGGGGTTTAACGTCCACTCGACACAAACTAGGTAATTTTGGGACTAACATGGTTCAGTTTTATTTCAATAATTTGATTGTGCGTAGGGGCTCTTTAGCAGTGGGAGAAACTCATGAGGTTGGACAGGCGACACTACTCCTTGTCACGTACAACCGGTTGACTCAGTGACAAACCTTATGATACAACGTGCACGTGCTAACCATTCAGCCATCCACCACCCCCATTTGTAAAAAAATGAAATGAAATGGGGTTTAACGTCCTACTGTTCTGCTCCTATACTGGGCTAATGAAGATGGGCATATGCCATACAGTGTGCTATGAGGGAAATTTTGCCCGGGCAGCGGCACTATCGCCTACTCTTATATCGAATTCCAACTGCCAAGGGATCTTTTACGTGCATTCCAATGTATACATGGGACCTCGGTTTTTCATCTCATCCGAAGGACTAGACAGCTGTCCTTGTCACTGTCAGGCCCTCCATTCTGCACCACTGACAAGGGCAAACCATGTCC